GTGGAGAAATAGCGGGAGAGTGGTATGCATGCCAAGGGAGAAAGAAGTGCATCCTCCATCTACTTAGCACACACATTTAAAACAAGTTGTCAGTGAACATTTAGAAATCATCGCTCGGGTCTCAGCGGGCCACGCTGTTTGAACTGCAGTGTAGGTAGGCAGTGTTTATCCTGGACCGGGCCCTTGATTAAAATGAGGAATGGAGCAAAAAAAAACAAAAACGCAAAATGGCCGAGTCTGTCGGTGGTCAGCCACAGGCTCCTCATCGCAGCCTCCACCGCTGATCTGACTTTCCCCCCTTTTTGCAATTTTTATGTAATCACAACTCCAGGAGCTATTTTTAATGTGTGTTTAGGTTGTGCGCCCGCCATGCGATATTAAACATTTCCCCTTATTACTTAAAGGCCAACTTTATTTTCCCTCAAAGCTGTGACTCCAAAAACATCTGTCCAGACACCACAAGAAAGGGCCTAAAGTCACTGGAAGATGTAGATGCCACTGCTGGACTCCAGAAGAAAAATATCTACTTTTCATTAAGTATACCATACCCGTACCTCGCCAAACAATTCACACAGAACATCAACATCCTCTTGGCGACGCGGCGTCGTGGATCGAGTTTCTGCACCTCCGTGAGTTTTGGAACCGTGTCGAAGTGAACTCCTCCACGACTCTTGCTTCGCTGTAGGGGTCCGGGGTCACCGTGCCGCCTCAGCAGCGCTGTGAGGAGATATTTACGTTCACACCGGCGGCGCAGGGGCCAACAGGAGCTGATTGCAAAGTGGTGTTTGTTTCCAATGAAAGCACGTTAATTCGGGCTCGGGCCGCAGTGTAAACTACCTTGGCGTTTTACAGATGTCGCCTGTTAAAGCGAATCACTGTACCTGCCTGTTTGCCACGGCCGGGCCGTTCTGATGCTTCGCCAGAGAGAGTACACAACACGAGCCAAAGGGGCTATTAATAAGCCCTTCCTCTTCTAATACTGTAATACCTCCACGTGTGTAATGTCTGCTCTGGGCTAATTATGTCACGTCTATTTGAGCTCTCGCAGAGAGACGAATACAGACAGACTCAGTCTGAGTTAATTTTAACTCATCTTGAGTATCCTTATCCCCCAATGTGTTTTCCCCAGAAATACTCTGTTGCAAGAAATCATTTCCTGTTAAAAACAGTCCACGGCGAAGTTCATCAGCTGCGACAAAGCGAGGAAAGCAGCAGCAGCGCCGAATGTACTCACACACGCAGGCCGTCTTAATAGCATGTGTAATTTTAAAGCATGTTCCAACACATGATACCTCTATTATGTTTCTGCGAGAGCTTGTGATAACAAAATGAGTCCACTTGAAGGTGTGTGGTCCTGAGTGGTAGGAGAGAGAAAGTGTCTGGCAGGGTGGGCCATCGACCACAGTCCTCAGGGCAGACCTTGGCCAGAGCTCAGAGTACGGCCAGGCTCTTCAGCTCCGCACACACACACACACACACACACACACACACACACACACAAGTATAGCAAGTGTAGTATACGGCCACCAGTGGAGAACCAGTAATGAATGAAATATTATATTCCACATCATATTCCAGCCTTTAACATTATTACCTTCGCATAAAAACCTTTTTTTTTTGACAGCAAGGAGGACATATATTACAAAAATTGTCTGTACAGCAAAATGAAGTCACTTCCAAACTGTCAGTTTCACCTCAAGTGAAATTTATTTATATTATTTATTGCATAGAATTCTCTGTCCATTGCTTCTATACATTCATAGTATTAGATATGTTAAATACATTAAAACAAACAAACTTCAGATCATTGGCTCCTCTCGTAATATAATTGCTAAAAATCCTTCCAATCAGGCCGGAATACATGCAATAAATACCATAGTCGCCATTTTTTTGCCAAATATCCCAAAAACATTATACTCTGGAAAACAAAATCAAAAGCTTTCATTTGCATGTTTGGTGATTAGATCAGCGGTGAGTTGAGTTGAATCTTCAGACTTGCTTACAGACACAAGTAGAGGTTGTGGTCAAGGTTTCAGTGATGGAAACAGTTTGTTGTGATTTTCCTAAGGTGGATGAACCGCTGACCCGACTGAAAGTTTGGCAAGTGAAACAATATTTGGCCGACTTTAGCTAAACTTTGTTGCCGTATCGGGGGGGAAAACATCATCCGTTCCCTGCAGTTTCAATCCATCGCAGTTCGTAAAGAATTCACGCAGAGACATCCGAGACTACAACGTCGTCATAGCTCAGGATACTCACCATCAAGGATGTTTATCACATGCCGTGCCACCCAAGGAGTGATGTTTGCTGCCATGTGAGTTGAGGTTTGACATTTATGCTTTGTTTTTCATTCGCTATTTTAGACTCAATCACGATGTGCGAATTACATTCCCATCACCCTGAGTGTAATTTACTGTGGCTCAGCAGAACTCACTGCACTCCGTCCTAAAGCTGAATGCTTCTGACAGCAAAGCATCCGTTCGCAGTTACCTTAAAAGTGTTTATACATGTCCTGGAATATTATTTCCGAGGTATCGAGTACCAGACTAAAGCTTATGTCTTTGCCATTGCGCTGGCGATCCAAAACATATAATCTTACAATTATTAAGGAAGACTGTTGTTGATCAGCAACTGCATGGTTGACATGATAGATTAAATCTGTGAGTAGCAATCTGGGATATTCAGTGTGTGTGTCGGTGTGTGTGTGTGCGTGTGTGTGTGTGCGTGTGTGTGTGTGTGTGTGTGTGCAGCATCTGAGCAGGCCTTTCCCTAAGGATTCTGTAAAATGCGCTGCAACTCCAGAGGCGTGTTCTTGTTTTAGACAGCAAATATTTACAAAGCACCGAGCCAAGGAAAATGTCTCACTGCACAAAAATAAGGTCGGCCGCAGAGAAGTGCTGTTGGATTTGTGGGGATTGTTTGTATTTCATGTTTTTTTTTATTCACTGCTTCTTCTTTTATTTTTCAAACTCTATATTAAGGTCATTAAGATTTGAAATAAATAAGGGCCCCATTTCTAAATAATGAAACATGTTTAGCAGAAGCACTTCAACAGATTATTTATTATTGCTCGGACAGATGTTTTTTCATTTATATTTGTAGCTTAAATGTACTTGTGTTGAGTGTGCAAACACTGGTTAGAGTTACTAATTTGTTTATTGACCTCACTTGGATGAAATACAATAATATGTACATCATTGATGTTCGTTGATTTTGTTATCTCAGGGCTATGATGTAGTACTTATAGGCATTATAATTACCATAAAAATGTTTGCCTTTTCAGATACTTCGAGACAAACGACCAAGTGCAAATCAAAAAATTAAAAAAACTTAGTTTATGTCCAAAAATACACCCAAAAATGCTCATTCTGCTCTCTTGCGTTCAAATATCAGGGAGGGTTGTCTTGAAACACATTGGCACATAAAACATGACATTTTTTAAAATGAATTTCTCTAAAATCACAGGCTGTAGTTAACCAACAGTGAGGGATTTAATAATGATTGGAAGCTAGTTTCCACTGGCAGCTAACAAATCACAAGAAAAGAGCCCGAAGCACTGTTCGTCTCTTTTCTGCTTAGTCACACTTGCTCACTGGCCATTGACACGACGACTGACGTGCTTTCGAACCTGACTGAACTCCTAGCTTCATTCCACGCGTTCCTCTGCTTTTCGTACCAACCCCCCCCCCCCCCCCCCCCCCCCCCCCCCCGTCTGTGGTTTTGATCTTTGAAACAAACACCTACGGACGCCGATCAAAGACGAGCTGCGACGTGTGAGGTTGTGTGTGGGAATCTGTGTGCGTGTGTTTGGAGTGGGATGATTCACCGTTGATTGTTCACAAGCTGCCCGAGCTGCACACTACTTGTTGGCAGGCCATTCTTGCAGGGCGTCTGTGTTACAGTGTGTGTGTGTAGGTGTGTGTGTGTGTGTGTGTGTGTTTCCAAGTGTTCGCAAGACGGTGAGAAGGCATCTCTTTCACAGAGGAGACAGGTGGCCACGATTTACGGCCTCTTACTGGAATTGCCCTTGTCTGTCGCTTCTATGAGAGCCAATTAAAGGTCAGTGCAGACTTGTATGCATGCACACACAGAGTTGTTACACTCATGACACAATAACGTGATACTGTCTGTGACACGGCAACATGAAGAGTGTGAAACGGGAGAGAAAAGCTTTAAAATTTAGGCTGCGAAAGTGACACTGAAGCAGCTCTCACACACTCTGTAAATAAGCAAGTTTCACACCGCCTCCGCTCTCTCCTCACACACACACACACACACACACACACACACTCACCCAGCCTTTCTGTCTCTCTCTCTTTCCCCATTCTCTCTGCTGCACATGCATACAAAGACAAACACACACACCCAGTCTCACACACCGCCAGCCAGCCAGCCAGCCAGCCAGCCAGCCATTCGCTCCTCACTCACACCCTCAAATCTTACCAAGCTCAGCTCTCCCTGCTCAGAGGCAGACGGGAGCAGCAACGGCAGCCCGTTAAAGGAGCTGAGGGACGGAGCAGCAGAGTCAGAGAGAGAGAGAGAGAGAGAGAGAGAGAGAGAGAGAGAGAGAGAGA